CAGCTACCAGGAGACAGAGGGAGGGGCTGCCTCTCAGCAGGGAGAAGAGAAATCCCACACCAGCGCTGTCAGTTGCCTAGAGGAAGCAGAGGTGGAGGCGCAGGGCAAAAGCGAGGAAGAAGGAGCTGTGGACGAGGGCTCTGGGGATGAGGACAACCTGGGGAGTGTGGCTGCGGGAGAAGATGACCAAGCCCCAGAAGAGAGTGATGGCGCCGAAGCTGTGGAGACCCAGGAAGCTGGAGGAGAAGAGCGGCCGGAGTCAGAAGGAGGAAATGAAAGTGAGAAGGAAGACAGTCCTCCAGATAGCCGAGGACACAGCCAGTCAGGTGAGGCTCCTGGGAACAGCAGCCTGGACCTAGAGGGGAGGTCCACACCACACCCTGGCCCAGGTGGAGACACCTCCCACCAAAGTCCAGACCCTGACACAGGCCCTTCCTCCCGTGCATCATCTCTGGGCCACTGCTCTCAGGTCTCTCAGAAAGACTCAGAAGATCATTCAAGTGTGAACAGGAGCACCGAAGATGAGCCCAAGGAGGACCCACCTGCAGAGAGCAAAGCCCCTGGGATGTATCCAGAAAGCTCCACTTCTGAGCAAGAAGGCACCCCTTCTGGCCTTCAGACTCCCGAGCAAGGGGCAGATGAAGGCTCTGACTTGCAAGACAAGAAAGCAGCTGCAAACCTCACCCTCACCAAAGCAGTGGGCAAGGCAGAGGGCTTTGACCAGGATGACTTCGATTTCTAGAGAGGATCATGCTGCAAGACAATCATGGGTCTGGGAGCTCTGTTTTCATGAATATTTCGTCTGCAAACCTGAGTGACGCTCCACCTGCTGGAGACGTACAAAGAATGTGGAAAACGATCAAGGATTTGCCAAGGACAAAGCCCATACTTTGCTATCCCGAGGTTCTGAATTTTGAAGTTTCAGAGGGAGCCCCTTGGCTTGTCCACACACAGCATGAAGAAGAGTTGTCTGCAATTATCTATTGTCAGAGGTCAGCCGGCCCCATTCTTTGTCTGCAGCCCGTGAGGATGGAGCTGAATGGAAATATTCCAGTGGAGCTTTTGTTTGTGTGTTTGTTTCTTTGCCAGCCGATGGGTCTCTTCGTTCTTTTCCGTATTGATCTCCTGTTACTTTTCTCCTTGGTCTCCCTTGGCACTTAACCTATTTGACCTTGAGGTGGTTTTTTTTTTTTTTACTGGTGGGTGTTTTTTTTTTTTTTTTTTTTTTTGGCTAGCCGTGAATATATTCGGTGACTCTGCAGATGTGAGTATTTGGAAAATGCAGATAAATTCAGGGTCATTTGACAAAGTTGTTTCTCAGCCTTGAAGTCCAACTGTTTTTCCTTAACTCATATAGTTTGGTAATGGAAAAATTGGAAAGCGCAGAAAAGCAGGAAGAAGAAAAACCAGTAAACCCAATTCCATCACTCAGAGGTCCCTTCTGTCAGTAGATTGCTCTTTTTTTTTTCCCTCCCATCGATTTATAATTTTGTAGTTGGTATTATTCTTTGCACGTACACTAACATACTTCTTTTCCTAAAAACTTACAGTATAAGGATTTTTGTCACTCATCTCAAAATCTTGATAAGCCTATTTTTTCATACCTGAATAATTTTCCATTATGAAAATATAAATACTTTACTTAACCATTTCCCTATTCTTGAATATGCGTATGGTTTCTACCATTCAATAGTTAATTTTTTTTTTCCCTGAACTTCTGATTATTTCCTTAGGAGAGATTCCCAGGCATGGGATTACTGGGTCAAAGGCTATCACCATTTTAAAGGCTTTGATATCTTGTTTTTTCTAAAGGTCTGTACTCATTTACATCAGCTGGCCCGTGACACACTCCTTAGTGTTGAAAATAGCCATGAGAAATTGGGGGGGCAGGTGGTGGCACGGCGGTGAAATCTGATTTTTGTGAGGTGGTCCCACATCAGAAGGTTCCTAGTTCAAGTCCAGAGGACATGGGTCTGTAATCTCTGAATACTCCGGGCATGCAATTTCCCATGATTCAGGGCTGGCGAAGGCTAGGGGTGGATCCCGTGGCATCAAGACCCTATTGGGGGTTCTCTCTCTATATCTCATGGAAGAAATAAACAAATAACCCTTTTGTAAAAAAAAAAAAAGAGAGAGAGAGAGAGAGAAATCGTTTGCTAATTTCGAGGGCAAAGAATAGTACCTGGTTTTAATTTTTAGTGAAATTAACGTTTTTTTCCTAGGGTTTTCAAAAGTTCTTTGTATCTAAATTAAGTGTTTGCCTTTTATCCATTTTTCTACTGAGCTCCAAGCTTTCTTTTTTTCTTCATCTTTTTTTTTTTTAAACGCATTGGTGGGCATGTGCCCTTTATAGTTAAAAAAGGTTCTAGTTATCGTTTCTGAGATTTCATAATGTCAGTCCTGCACGAGCAGGCTTTGGCCGGGGTCCTGATAGGGAGCTCCTGGATGGTGCAGAATTTTGTTGTCTCTCCTCAGCTTTTCTGCTCATAGCTGACCGTTTTGTGACATTCAGATTTATTCAAATGGAAATCTATGTACAAGACCAGATATTGTTCGTTGGTTACTAAAATATACCACACAAAGCGAAAGGGGGTATATGCCATATCTGCACATCGGTAGCCATGTGTTGTACAGATGGACATGTTTTAATAAAATTTGACATGTTTTTAAAATTTCTGCAGAGGTAATCCTTTAGTTTTTAGAATAAAAGCAGATGGCATGGTGGTTAAGGGCGCTGGGCTCCCACATGACCAACTGCAGTTCGAGTCCCAGACCTGGTGGCTTCCTTCCTCACTTTCTCTCTCTCTCAGTCTGTCCCTCTGTGGTCAAATAAAAATAAATAAATAAAGTTAAATAAAAGAATTCTTTTTTTAAAAAAATCACACATTTATATGTAGACATATGTATGTGTATACACACACACACACACGCACACACACATATATACATGTAGTGGGGGGAAGGTGTTGGATAGTGGCTGAAAGCCTGGTGAAGACTATGAACTCACGGCCCACCTGTCAATCAGAGTGGAGAACTGGCATTTTCACCAGAAGCCTCTAATGGAACAGACTGTGTTGCGGGCTTGCTTGCTGCAGATGTGCTAGGCAGGGGGTCCCACACTTGTCACGATGTGTTGTCATGAAGGATCTCCCATGCACCTCCTCTGTGATTTGAGGTCCCTAGTCCTCCTCTGAGAGAGATTCCAGTCCCTTTGTTTCCCTCCCTGCTGCCTCCCCAAACACCAGTAACAGCCGGCCCTGCCACCTACTGACCTGGCACTGAAAATGGCATCTCCCATCTCTACCCAAAAGATGGCAATGGGAAGAGCATGGGACCTGAAGCTGGAGGACTGGGCTCATGTCCCCGTGTTAACACCTCAGCGTCAGTATGTGAAATGGGCTAGGTCCTGTTTTCCTTCTTGTCCTGTTGAGAACTAGGTGAGAGAACCTCTGAGACTTCATTACACCTAGGCTGGGATGATAACAACATATTCAGTACTACTGCTAGATTCGATGCCCACATTATGTCAGGCACCATACTAGACTCCTAATATAAATGATCACTTTTAATCTCCCCAACACAACCGGGAAGCAGGCAAGTAGACATGGTTATCCCCACTTCACAAAGGAAGAAACTGAGGTTAGAAAAGAAACAAACTTGCCCAAACTCGTGCAGTTTGTTAGGTGCAAACCCAGATTTTAAACTTAGGTATTTCAGAATCCAAAGTCCATGTTTGTCTCCATTGTATCATATTTATTTTTTCCTTTCAATTCAGGCCCCATAAATAAGTAACTTAGCTAAAGATGATCAACACTTGGGTGGAACAAATTCACTGCAAAATAATAAAGACTTAGCAAAGCCAATTTGATGGGATGTTTTGCTCATTTGATTACATTATGTCCTCAGTAATGTTCGACTTCAGGACCTAGATATAACTGGTTTGTTTTGTTTTGCTTTTTGAGAGGTTTTTGCTATAGGACGCATGCACTCGCCAGAAAGAAAGAAAGAGACAGAGTGAGACAGAGAGACAGAAAACAAGAAATCACCCCCCAGGGGAATGGCCACGCCACAGACCCTTCGCCTCCATTTTCCTCTCAGGATCCTGGGCACGTGTGCACACGCACCCGGTATGAGTCTAAGCCACTGGGTCCAGGACTTGAACCATGGTCGGCCACATGGGAGTCCACTGACGTAGCCATTACGCCATCTGCTGGTCCCAATGCAGCAACTTTTTAAAGCTCCCATATGTATCTAATATTGAGTGGAGGTGGCTGATCCTGGACTGACTTCAGCATCCTCCTGACAGATTTTGAAAAAGGGGATTGTCTAAATCACACAGCTGTGTAAGTGGCTGAACTGAGACTAGACCAGAACTTTCTCTGTATCTCACCTAATGTCTCTCATTCCAGAGCTAAGAGACATTGCAGAGAAATGCAGTCAATGGCAAAGCTGTTTCCTTGTCACCTAGACCAGCACCTCCCCCCCTCCCCAGCTTTCCTCTTCCACTGAGTCTCCCCCTAAGCCGGGATTTGCTCCAGAAAGTGAGCCTTCCCGAGAGTTTCCAAACGAATCCTAGAAAGTTGTTTTTCCTTTGAGATTCTGATTCGGACGTAGAGCCCAGGAATGGACATTCCAATAAGCATGTGGAGGAACGCCAGCAATAATACCCCACCCCCAGTTGCCTTCATTCCGTGGTCAGACCTTCACCCCACCAGGACTGGGGGTTCTCGCAGAGGCTGCGTCCCGCTCACCAGCCCTGCCTCCACTGAACACACACACGCACATGTGCATGTGCACACAGACAGTTGGATTCCTTTCCTTACTCATTACATTGTCTCCCCAAGGGGCAGTGTGGGTCAGCAAGAGTCAACCTCTCTCGGCCTCCCTCTCCTGAGAGGCAATTAGGGAGGGTACAGAGCAACCCCTCTCTGGCCCTCCCATCACCCTCAAGTCCAGAGGCACAGCTGTCTGCCCAGGCCCCAAGAAAGGGACCCACCCCGGACATGGGCCAGTATCCCCAAGCTCATCCCTCTCACTAATCAGGCAGGGTGGCCCAAACTTGTTTCACTTCTGCTGGAGGGAGCCAGCCAGCCTCGGGCAGTCAGCCCAGGGTCTTCAGTCCCTGTCCAGCAGCTCTACCCGAGTCTGGGTTGGTCCCACATCCCTGGAGAGAGGGCAGCTGCCTTGAGAAGCTCTTCCTCCAGATCAGGCTTCCACCCTCCCACCTCTCTGTCCCTCACTCTGAGAGGTGCTCCTAGAACCCTGCCATTAGCACAGCTTCTCCTGGACCCTCCGAGGTCTAAGGTTTCGAGACTTGCTGGGCGATTGCAGCCCAAGGCTCAGTTTGTGGGTGAGAGACTGAAGTCCATGGGGGAGGGGGAGGAGCACGCCGCCTGCTGCCCTTCCTCCCTCACTCTCACCTGCGTCTCCCCTCTGTCTCACCTCACTCCTGCCACCCCGGGACCCCTAAATCCCTGCAGGCTGGGCTCCTGTTTTTCAAATGTGAGGGCTGTTTTCAGTCATTGTCGCAGTGGACAGTGGTGGCCAAGGCTCCTAAAGGTGCCCCCACCCCAGCTTGGGCTCCTTGAAGGGGAAATGCTCATGTCTCCCATCCTCGGCCATTGCGCTCCTCCCCTGCTCACCTCACTCCTGCCACCCCGGGACCCCTAAATCCCTGCAGGCTGGGCTCCTGTTTTTCAAATGTGAGGGCTGTTTTCAGTCATTGTCGCAGTGGACAGTGGT